CGCGTTATCGGCAACTCGGTTGTTATCGGATACTCGGTGCAGGAAAAAAACAATGCAAAGAAAATGTAGGTGATTTTAAATTTCTTCATTCAATGATAATTGTGTACTTCTGCAAACAAGTTTGTGATCTTTGGCAGATAAATGATAATACTTTCAACGGTAAAAAGCACGATCCAAATCACACTCTTTCAAGAGATCTACAGCTCTTTAAAATGAAATTTAATAAAATTTTCTGAATATATCAACATATTTTAGTCTTTGTAGAGGTCAGAATCAATTTATTTTATAAAACAAAGTAATTTATTAACTATATGGACAATCATAAACCTTTAGATAAGCAGACATTTATCAAAATTCAAATTATGGTTTATTTTACGGGCATTTAAAATGTTTCGTTGGGCAAAAACATGTCATCGGAAACACGGTTGAAGTTGCCGGATAATTCGGTTTTTCACGGGTGCAGGTTATCGGAAACCTAGGTTAAAAATTTTCCTTCTGTTTCAACAATAGATTAAAAAAAGACGAAATTCCATGATATTCGACGGTCAAGGCTTTCAGTTAAAAAAAAATAACAAATTGAACTTCAGCAAACAAAGTTTGTGATCTATGACAGATAATTGATTATACTTTCAGCAGCAGAAAGGACAAACCGAATCAAAAGATCTACAGCTCTCTCAAATAATTTTTATTAAAAAAAATTCGGATTATGTCATCACATTTTAACTTTTGTAGAATTCAAATTTAATTTATTCTATCAAACTGGTATATTTATTCTATGGACAATCAGATACCTTTAGATCGGCAAACTGAGATTAAAAATCCAAATTAAGGTTTAGAAAACAGTCATTTAAAATGTCTCGTTAGTTGAAAACATGTTATCGGCAACAAGGTTGATGTACGTAGCCGGATAATTCGGTTTTTAAGGGTGTATGTTATTGGAAACGCAGGTTAAAAGGTTTCCTTTAGCTTCATAAATAGTTTGGGAAAAGTCCATTACAATCTGTCAATTCTTGAAAAAAGCAAACGTAATGCGTAAGAAGTAATTTTGAAATTTATTTTCAAGGGCTGTCCGTAAGGTTCGTAAGTTTGTTTTGATATGAATGGTTATAAATAAGATTAATAAGATAAATGATAGAACTATTCTATCTGTTTAATCATTTTTGACATGTTTTCCATTCAAGTGAACCTCCTTAAGCTTCAGGAGGTTTCAGACGTAAATATATATCTTTAATTTATCATAACAAATTTTTAAAAAATCAAGTTCCCCCATGATCCCCGGAATCAAGTCACAGTTTGATTCATTTTCAGTTCCTCATATGTTTAACTTTTTCTACAGTCAGTGATTGGCGTTTTCAATTACACTTGGGCGGGGGGGGGGGGGGAGGGGGAGGGGGGGCAGAGAATTTTTGCTTCAGTAAAACATCCAATAGCAATGCAATATCCATGTGAACCCTCCTCGATCTACTAGTATTTGAGCATGAGCTCTATTAACACATTGCGTCTGGCCAATAATGACGAAGGGCACACTGCTGGATGTAACCGTTTGTCAGGGGGTTCTTATTCCTTCTTGGTATGTTAAACAACCTCCGATGTCTTTAGAGATCCGTGTTTACGATTTCGCAATTTTTTATGTCAATCTCTTTTCTCCTCAAAAGTTTTAATTCTATTTCATATAGTTTGGTCTAACGCCCTATTTGGAAATACATTTAACCACCCCGCTCGCGTGGAGCAGTGGTTACAGCGTCTGCTCTAGAGTCGCGAAGTAAGGAGTCAATCCTTACGTCGCGGGTTCGAATCCCACTGCGGGACGTGGAGACCGGTCCTTCGGATGAGACCGTATAAACCGAGGCCCCGTGTCACAGTAGGTGCTGGCACGAAAAAGATCCCTCACTGCTCAAAGGCCCTGAGTGCCGAGCATAGGACAAAATTTGTAGCCCTCCACCGGCAAGTGGTGGCGTCTCCATGTGAGTGAAAAATTCTCGAGAGGGAAGTTAAACAACATGCAATAAATCAATCATTTAACCACCCTTATATAATTTTATTGAGTTTGAATTCTTTAATTGATTTACAGTAAACTTATAAATTTATTCGTGTTGGAAAGGTTGTGAGTTTGAATTTCGGTGTCGCCTGTGCTAAGTCGATAAAATGACTGGCAACTGTTCTTTCGCTATGCGCTCATCACCTTGATTGACTGTATGTTGTTTAACGCCATCTTAAGAATTTTCAAGTCATATGGAGACTCCACCACTTGCCGGCGGAGAGCTACAAAACTTGTCCTATACTCGGCACTTAGGGCCATTGAGCAGCGAGGGATCTTTTTTTGTGCTAGCACCTATTGCGACGTCCCACTTTGGGATACGCACCAGCAACGTATAAGGATCGACTCCTTACTCGGCGACTCTAGAGCAGACACTCTAACCACGGGCGACCTCGGTAACTTGAAATGAAATTTAAAACTAGTACCATATTTAACAACAGGTCAAGATCATGCATATTTCAGTGAGAAATGCCAAAAAATACGCATTTTTTAAAGTTATATATGCTTAAAAGAGGTAAATAATAACCAAAAATTAGAATTGTGTGCCAGCCACTTTATATATTTAGATTTCATGCGGATTTCTGTCGTTCCTTTATATTTTTCCTAATCTATCTCAACCTTTGTTTCCGATAACCAAAACCGAAGTTTCCGATAACAAACTGAATTATTCAACCGTATTTCCGATAACATACTGAAAGTTAAAACTGGGCAATTTTTGTCCTTTAATAACATATTTGCAAGGTTCTGACGATGTCATCTTGTGGATAATCATTAACGCTAGGTAAATGTAAGGATTTTGAAGAAAAAAGCTATTTACAGCAATACCAATTGGAGAAAAACTTGCAAAATATAGAAGATTTGACTTTTAAAGCCTTCCCAAGGCTAACAAAAGCTATTCTAATACGTATCAAGGCGTTATTTTGTATCCATATTTATTTCTGTTTACAAAAATAACAATAAACATTCTCTGTTTCAATTTACCAGAGTTTATTTGAAATAATTGACTACCTTGTAGAAAATTGTGATCAACCGAGTGTCCGATAACAACCGAGTTGCCGATAACGCGTTGAGCAGTGTGACATTGATGAGGGAGAAAATTATTATTTATATGAAATACTAATGAGGGTACATTTCTTTACACTGTGCCCCCCCCAGTGATTTTGCCGATTATAAAATACTAAAGAAATCATAACTACTATATGCTTGTACCCCCCCCCCCCCCAATTTTGTGCCCCCTCAATAAAACATCTGATGACTTTTTTTGCTTTGTTTTTGGTTTTCAAGAAATTTTTGTTGTTGAAAACTGAAAATTGTATGGTTGTGCCCCCCCCCCCCCCGAATGAGATGAGCATTATGGTTTTACTAGTATATTTGAGTCTTTGACCAAGTCGGGCGAGACCCGAGCGATTTCCTTTTAAATAATTATCGAATATATATTTATTTTATCTATGCATCGCAAGATTGACGACGAATGTTGATAACCACACATTTGCCCCTCCCCCTCCCACTTGGCCATTCCCATAATATTTTATATGTTTCCGATATAATATACTATAGAAAACAGTAACTTTATGCTTATGTCCATTCAAAAATAAATTCCAATTACCATGATAACCCCTATTTTTTGAGGTTAGGGTAGGGATAGGGGGATTAACAATGATTTTTTTTCAAAATTTATTATTCACAATGGGTCATTATCTTTATTAAGCATGCATGTTTCAGCCATCCGTATTTAAGGGGATGTCTATTGGTTTCATAAACTTGGTCGATCTCGATCACTGGCCACTTTCTAATACCGTGTCACAAACACTATCCACCTTGAAACCCGTAGTACTAATTATTACAGAGACGAAGCATCGATTTTGAAAGTGGGGTGGGGGGAGGGGGGGGGGGGGCAGACAAAAATATTATTGCAAACCTGAAAATAAAAACTGACAGAAAAAATTTGTCCAAACCCGAAAATCCTATTTCGGGGCGTGAAAGGGGGCGTGGGGTGGGGGTGGGGGGGAATCGAACTTCTTTTAGTACCTAATTTCTTTTAATACACTACTACTTAAACTTCTTTGACTATTCTGCACCACTGTACCAAAACGTGGAGGGGGAGGGGGGGGGGTGGGCTTGGCAACTGACCTTTCGATGAACATTTTCAATAGTAAAAAAATTATGTTTGGATAAAAGGGGGGATGTATGTATGTACTGTAATCTATTTTAAGTTTACTATCATGTCAACAACCCTGTATCCAAAGTAGATAACACGAAATATATATATTCTTTATATAAATCTCTTATGACATTTAAGAAGTTATTATAAATTAATTTAGCATATCTTGCAGCCCAAAATCTAATATTTCTTTAAATTTCGCTTTGATAATATATAACACTTTTTCTTGCGTTGTAATTTAATCAAATGACCTCCTCAGTATTAAAATACTCAACGATTTGTTGATAGTAAAAAATAATAAAGGGGAGTAATTGAATCTCAAACCGCCTTTTGATTGGTTACTTTGGATCTTGAATCTCGAATTTCGAATCTCGTATTTCGAATCTCGAATCTCGTATTTCGAATCTCGAATCTCGAATGAGCCTTCTGGGCTTTCGTTGTACGTATCATTATAGCCTTTAAACTTTAATGAAAATGTCTTTTTTTCTTTTTTGTATCGGACTAAAAGCCCACTAGCTACATTTGAAAAACATAATATAAAAAAAATCTCATGTAGAAAAATTGTGAATTGGGTGTGTTATTTATTATAAATCTTATTTATAACTTTCGAGAAAAGAAATAAAAAGCTTTGTTGAAAAGATATTGCATTAAATTATCGTATGATATTCAATGTTAATCAATTTCCTTTAGAAATTAAATTACTAAATATAGAACTGTCAACGAGCAACATTTCCTCGTTAATTAATTTTGTGTTTTTCCAGGTATTGTAATTAAACCGCAGTCCCCGCCTCCCAGTATCTCTAAAGGTATATAATGAGTTGATAGGCAGGACCTGTACTAAACGGTTGTCAAGCAGTAGCTCCAAAGACCACACAAACCAGGGTAAGAGTTTAATTCATCTTTTTAGTAATTAATGAAAAAAAGTTTTCAGACATTTCATACGTTGTCTTCAAGATATTTTTCTTCGTTATTCGTTCCCAGTACTTTAAAGTACATAATTAAATTGTTTTTTTAACTCCATAGAAATTAATATTTCAGGAAAAAATTTAAAAATGTGAATGATTAGCTTATTAAATAGATAAAAATTATCTCAACATCCAAATTCTTTTCATGTTAGAAAATGATGAGAATAATCTCTCTCGCCGCCTGCATCGTTGCCTGCGTTTATGCGGATTCTTACCCAAAGGCTGGGGGTTACTATCCCAAGAGCTATGGATATGATTTTGGATACGGGGATTACTATCCCAAGAGTTACGGAATTGGTCCATATGGTAACTTTGAAGGCGTGAACAGTGGTCTGGTTGGATTTGGGGGCATCAACAGTGGACTTGGTGGCGTTGGAGGATACTATCCCGGTTTGGTCGGTATTGGAGGCGGATCTGCTGCCGCTAGCTCAGCTGCCGCTGGAGGTGCTGCTGCTGCCGCCGCTGCTGCTGCTGCTGGACAAAATGCTGCTGCTGCTGCCGCTGCCGCCGCCGGAAGAAACAGTGCTGCTGCCTCTGCTGCTGCCGCTGCTGGTGGACTGAATGTTGCTCCATACTACACCTATCCTGGATATTATTATCAGGGACAACAGTTCTACAACTTCCCCGGTTACCACCTGAATCAATTTCCAGGAAACTACTACCAGTTCCCCCTATACAACACCTTCAATCCTTATCTTGGTATTGGAGGAGGATCTGCCGCTGCTTCTGCTGCCGCCGCTGGTCAGGGTGCCGCCGCCGCCTCCTCTGCTGCCGCCAGTCAGGGATTCAATGGATTCAATAATGGCGTCATTCTTGGAGGAAGAAGACCAAGAAAGGTTAGATTGAGATCTGATGAAAAAAATTCTAACTCTTTCAATTTTTTCTTATTTATTTATTAAGACTAATCTGAAAATAATTTTTAAAAAATCGATTATAATTTTTTTAATCTATATTTATTTTCAGGTCTACTAAACGGAGTAGAACGTTCAATATGTTCTTTGACGGCTGTGATTGGGTTATACTTTTTATAATTAATAAATATTGCATCATTTATGTACGTGTTGACTTCTTAGATCTGGTATAAGGTTTACAGAAACATACTTCGAAAAAATGTTTAAATCTTTAATTTTAAGTGTCTTTGACATTTTTTGAGTGGTTAAATCTTTAACGAGTCCAAAAATGAAAAGAAATGAATATTGATGAAATTGAAATTCAATAACAATGAAACATATGGATATAATAAATATTCAAGATCATAAGTTCATACAACAATACAAAATGGACCAGAGCAAACAGAGACATCCAAAGCATCGGAGGTGGGATCAGGTACCATGCAGGAGTGAGCATCCCCTTCCGACCGGGCCCACCCGCTGTGTGTTCCTTGTCATGATAGGGAAATAAAGGATAAAAATGCGTCGTGAATTTAGTTTATAAATAATGGACTAACAATCGGAATGAAAAACGTCAGTCAGATGCCATAGAGGAGTGAGCATCTCCTGCCGAACGGTCAGACCCGCCGTGTGCTCTTTGTAATGATTTGGAAGTAACGGAAAAAAATCCCGGTATCGATTCAGTGAATAAATAATGGACTAACAATAAGTATGAAAAACATCAGTCAGCATTTGACTCAATGATAAATTGTAATTGCTGACAAGGTCATTGTATCGACCATAGAACTTACGGAATGATGACTTTCAACGAAAAAGCTGTAATTCTTGTTTCATCAACTTGTTTGTCATTAATTTACCTCTTTTTAGAAATTGTTCGTACGTAGAACATGGCTCTTGAGTATCGAATCACATGAGATATATAAACTCCGTATGCAGGTGATAAATTTGATTTTGATTTATTTAGTTCAGCCTGGTCGATCTTATTCTACGTGACTCAAAAGTTTAAGTTGACTATAAAAAAAGGAAGTCACCAAGTTTGTCATTACGTTTTATTATTAGGTTTCCTTTTCGGATCCTATGTATCCTATTTTAAAATTCTCTGCGAAAAACTGTAAAATCTGTGACATTTTGATAACTAACCCTTCTTTCACCAGTCATCTTACTGCACAGAGCTCTTATACCTAAACTTGGGAAAAACTGCAAATCTTCTAATGTTGTCTACGGAATAGAATGTAATCTATGTGGATTAATAAAAGAATATTAGAACATAGATTTCAAATAAATAATGTGGGCCAAAACTTTTATACAAGCATTTCAAATTACCTGATCATTTAATTTTGCCAATGAAATTTACAATTCTAGAAAATATTTAACACCATACCAATAGTCCTTCACTGAGTACACTTTTACGTAGACACCGAGCAGAATTTTGGATTAGAAAACTTGGGACAGCTTTTCCCTATGGATGTAATGACAATGTCGACAGTGTTGAAAATCTTGTAAAAAAGCCCTTGTATGTCCTATGAATATACATCGATTAATGGTTCAAAACTTTTTGATTAAAAGAAAACTATACAGGGCCTTGATATCGAATATCTGAGACATAATCCTCCATCTCGTTCATATTCTTCTTCACCCTAAAACTATAGTCCTGCTGGACACGTTATTATAGGTGACGTAAATATAGTAACTAATGAGGACCTTAGATCACTTATTTTAAAAGGTTCTAAATACATAGGGAACCCCGATCTTTTAACTGGGGTCGGAATTTCTTAAATATTATGGATTCTGTAAAAGATTACGCCAGGCGATGGGCCAGATATGAAAAAGAAGACGTTGACACTTTGTCAAAATGGATTAAATGTATCAGATCTGTGTTACAATTGCATATTAAAGATCGAGGGGCAATATGAAAACCATCTATCCCTCTGTATTCAATAATCCAGAGGTATACAAAGAATTAGATAGATTACATGATCAGTACGTACTGGTCCCTGCCGACGAAGCAGGTAACAACATTGTCTTCGTTTATAAGGCTCATTACATAATTGTATTTTAAAAGAAGTTCGATTTAATTCTACAAGTGGTAATTCAACTTATACTCATAGTTCCCATTCTAAGGAAGAAATTCTTCAAAATCATGTCAGTTTTGAATATTTTTTCTCAATCTCAAACAATCACAATGAATTTGAATTACCATATCTATATTAGATTCCAAAACTCCATCAAAATCCTTACAAACAAAGATACATAGCTGGTTCCAGTAAATGTTCAACCAAACTTCTTTCTTTACTCCTCACTTTAATATTAACATTAGTGAAGGAGAAACTTTGAGAGTACTGTGCAACAATGTATTCGAGAAGTGGTGTAAATCAGATGTGGATACTTGAAAATTCCAAGGAACTTTTGGAAACATTGAATTTTAATTAAATTTCAGGATTGTTTATATCATAGACAGCTGGTTTTTTTTTTTTTTTTTATAAAAATGGAAATTGTAAATTTTCTTACCTTGTCATTGGTCATTAGCAAAATTATTTGGTTAAAACAGATTCTGATTGTACACACAAGTACTCTAAATCTGACATGAAAAATATGCTTCAGTTTCTGATTGACAATATCTTTATGGTTTTTGGTGACCAGGTCTATTGGAATTCCCATAGTTAGCATTTGTGCCCTCTTATGTTTGTTCATTAATATGAGGCAGAATTTGTCACAAATCTTAAACGTGAAAATCAAACATTACATGCTGTGACCTTCAACTCGACATTTTGGTATATCTGCGATGTATTGTCAATTAACAAGGGTTATTTCCATTCTTATGTCTATACGATATATCCCTGTGAGCTTAAAATAAAAGATACCACAGAGTCTGCTACATCTGTTTCATATTTAGATATTCTACATAAAAAACATTCATTGTTATCTAACTACCGAATTTTATGATCAACGTGATGACTTTAACTTTACAATAGTCAATTTCCCTTACTAATGCATCCATATAGTTTCGTTGCCTGCATCTGGGTTTTATATATCTCAGTAATTCGATACGCAAAAGTATGTTCCTCATACGACCAATTTCTAAAACGAGGCAAATGTTTGACAAAGAAAGTAAACTGCTGAAACAAGAATATCAGCAGTCTCGTTGAAAGTCATCATTTCGTAGGTTCCATGATCGATGTAATGACCTTGTCAGCAAATATACAATTTATCATTTAATCAAATGCTGAATGATTTGTAGGGCACTATATACACACTGAATTGTTGACGGATTTCCCCATTATTTCCCGATCATGACAAAGACGGCTGAAGTGACAAGGGATGCTTATTCATTCATGGCACCTGATCCCCCCTCTGATGTGTTTAAGGTACGTGCTTGCTCTGCTACAATTTTGCGTTGTTTAATTGACTTTTGAGCTTAAATACTGTTTTTTATCACCAAATATTTTGCTCAGTATCTTAACTTTTGTTTTAATTATATTAATTTTGACTATGGACAAATTCATCTAATTAGTAAAAAGATATTATAGTGTATGCAACCCTTCAAAATAAGGCTATTTGCCTCCTCCAAGCAAACTGGTTCAAACTGCAGTGTTTCAAGGAATTCGTGATTTTTCCCCCCGTAATTTTCCATTTTTAAAATCCTGCTTCGTTTCATTAATAGGACTTATTACATCATCACAATTCGTTTTAATCTTTACTCGTTTATTTTTTTCATTTCAATGTCTTTTGTGAAATGAGTATGTTTAAAAATGTAATGATTTGATGCAAACAACATTCAACCGATTTCAATTCCACAAGATTTTTTCTTTGACTTACACAACGTCTCTATACGAGTGAAAAATTTTCGAATGGGACGTTAAACAATATTCAATCAATCAATCACTGACTTATGCATGTTAACATTTCTTAAATCCTATTTTGGACTATCGGCTTTTTTGGGGGTTAAATTCCAGGAAAACCGATGTTTTTTCATAAAGATATTTAAATCATTATTTTTATGTTTATTTGCGTCTAATATTGTGGTTCCTGAGAAAATGCATTACTCATATTTGTTTTGAATTATCACAAGAGTTTTATTGTGTTAATGAGATTGAGATTTCGTACGTGTATATGTACAGGTACGTGTGGTAGGGGAATCACCACAATTCCTCGCGTCATCAATTTTTGTGATGACAAGGATTTTGCATGTTCTTAGAATTTGTAGAATGGCATTTACATGTAAGTAAAAACTTGTAGTTTTAAAAATAAAAATAACTGTTAACGATAGTATTGTTCTCCCGCCTACTTTCAAGTCAATTTTCAAAAGTTAAGATATTCGAGTGGTTTTTAATATATATATTGATATTTATATGGATTTTCATAAAACATTTCTTATTTGGGAAAACAACGAGAGATAACTCTAAAATTTTGGTAAAACTTATTTTTTTTCACTATAGAATTCAACGGAAAATATCTTTAAAACATCTTTTCCCCCGTGAAACAAAAATTCCTTTTTACGGGTAATATATAAACTGTCATTTCAAAAATTCATACCAAAGCTTTTTTTTTGTGTTTCACGGGGGCGGGACATATGTTTATATACAAAAAACGACAAAAATGCTTATTTTTTCAGCTGTGTCCAAATGTTTAACAACTGGAACATTGTATTTTACTGATATATATGCCTGATTATATATACATAAAACATAAGAAAAGATTTAAGAAATGTCTATTCATATGAAAGACAATTTCAGTAGCACGCTTTCAGTGGAAAATATCTCGTACCCCCCTTACTTCAAAAGCCGGAATTGGAGATATTTTACTTTTCAGAACTGGTATCAAAATATTCAATCAATTACCATTGAACTGTTCTTTGTATTAAACAAAGATTTTATGGCCAAATTGTCATCAATCCTGTATTAAATGGTTGTAAAATGTAGGCGGGAATCGAGAACTGTGAAAATGTGATTGTTATAAAATTATTTAAGCTGTTTGGTTTCATGACCACTTTATAATGTTAAAAACGTGTACGTGTACGTAAAAGTATGTGCACAAGTACAAGTATGCGTACAAGTTCAAAGATCACAACCCCACTAATCAGTCTTGTAGAAAGGGTTGAGTAGCCTCTAATACATGTACTTTTTACGTATTTCAATCATGACTGCATCAATTGCCGGTATTATAGTCAGTTTCAAATATTACAATGAGGAAACTGAAGTTTATCAATTATTATTCATCACTTGCCTATCGCCTGTCATCGTTTTATTGCTAATCACTTTAAAATTTATCATCACTCTTCAATTTATGCACATATTTAAGCAGTAGCAAAAATAACAATTTTAATATTACATAAGTAAAAATCATAATCACATAAATGCAATTAAAAACTGACGTTATTACTCCACCATTTTGCAGTGTCAATTAAGCCACAAGTATATGAACAGCAAAAGTCTGGAGGAAACAAATTGAACAACTTGATAAATGACACGCAATTTCAATTAATGCAGTCAAACTGATATTTTTTTTATAAACATTTCTTCCTTAACAAGGATGGGTTTAGTTTGGTTTACTTTTTGTTAAATAAAAACGAAATATGATTTTTTAAGAATTAAATACAGTGTTAATTTACAGTGACTTTTTTATGTTAGAAATAAAATAAGAAATATCTTTTATTTAAGTAATACTAAACATAATTTAAAAACTAACGTTATTACTCTAACAGTGTCAATTAAGCCCGAAGTAAATGAACAGCAGAAATCTGGAAGTAACAAATTGAACAACCTAATTAATGACACACAATTTTAATTAGAGCAGTCTGAACTTATTTTTTTTAAAGTTCTTCCTTTACAAGGATCGGTTTATTTTGGTTTACTTTTTGTTTGAAAAAAACGAATTATTTTTAAAGAATACATTGTGAATTTACAGTGACTTTTCCATGTAAGGAACAAAATAAGAAGTGTCTTTTATTTAAGTAATACTAAACATGCGATATGTATGTGGTAGAAACACTACGTTATCCGAAAATAATCATGGAATCGATGAAATCATTATGATTTGTTACAGAAAGTTCAAAATAAACATTATATTTATACATGAATGAAATAATATTTTAAGTATCGTTTTATTTATCAGCCTTCTACAATCAAAATACCATTAGCAAAAAAAATGCCATCTTTGCACAGTCAGTAGAAAAATTTAGCCTTTTTATCTTCAGTGCTTAGATTAGGTTTCAATATTTTTCAGTTTAATTTGAGTTACAAAAATATTTATGAAATAAATATCACAAATGTGTAAGAAGGTCAATGAGTTGTATACGAACATGTCATAAAAAAATCAACGATTTCAATTTTAAAATCTTATTCAAACGGTGTTTTCTGATTTATCAGAAGTTACATTTGAGTATGACTTTTTTTTTGTTTTAATAATTGACAAAACATGAAAATTAAACTGTACGATGCTCAAAATATGAACTCTATTTTTATTAGCGGTTAAAGGAAAACCTGTCCTTTAAATCATTTGGAAACTTTTGTGTTATGTGTGTTCGTAACGGAGATGGTATTCATCGTCTAAATCAGATTTCTATATTTTCTTAAAAACAAATTAAGAACTGAAAACACTCACCAACAAACTAAAAGTAATTTATGATTTCTTAATTTCTCCACTCTGTTTTCATTTCCATTCTGTCATGATAAGTTCCTAAGTCTTATTTATAATCTGCTATCGTATGATTTAAAAACTTCATGATTGTCCCCCGCTGATAATGGGGGGATATTAATTTTGGCATGTCCGTCCCTTCGTCTATCTGTTAGTCTGGCTGTTGTTCTGTCTGTCTGTAACTCTTTCGTTTCAATGTAATATCTCGAGAAGCCTTTAAGCTTATGCGATGAAATTTTACAAAATAGCTCCTTATGACCTGAGGAAGATCCCAATTGGTTTTGAGGTCAAAAGAACAAAGTTCAAGGTCATGAATTAAAAACGTCTGTCTGGTTTAATACTTTCGTTTCCATGCGATATCTCAAGAAACGTTTGAGTTTTTGCAATGATAATTTATACCAGAACTCCCTGTGGCTTAAAGAAGAATCCCTATCTATTTTGAGGTCAAAAGATCACAGGTCAAGGTCGTAAATTTATACATTTTGTGTGTGCGTAATTTCATGGTGGTTTTGAGTTTTTGTAATTTAATTATATACCAAAACTCCCTTTTCCCCCTTGCCCTTCTCTCCGTCCCTCCCTTAGACTGTATTTCTGCATGTCTGTAATACTTCCGTTTCCAAGCGATATCTCGAGAAGCCCTTTGACTTTGCAATTAAATTCTACATGACAACTCCCTATGGCCTAAAGAAGAATTATAAATTGATTTTAAAGTCTTTAGGTTTAGTATGTTTAGTTGAGGATAAACTAGACACACTTGGTTTTTTTCAACTTTTTTTGGTAAATTTTTTACAATGAAGAACATGATGTTAACATGTATACAGTATGTATGTGACCTATTGCTTGCATTTAATTCCCTTTCAAATCAAGTTCGTTTATTTTCGAGGGAAAAGATTCTCGCTTTGCATGAGAGAAGCCCCCGGTTCAAATCCCCGTTGATCCTTTTTTTTTTTTTAATATTTTAAATTTATTAATTACTAAATGATAGTATTTAGCATAGCTTATGGCATATGGCGTGTACAAAATATCATTATTTTGTTAAATATTATATATTGAAAGGATCTTCATATAAGCTGTCAAAACTTTATATCCATATAGACATTTTTCATTAGCTTCAGTGCCTAATTTATGAATTCTTTTTTTTCATAATTATTAATTAATCAGGAATAAGTATCGTTTGAGTAAAAATCCTCATACTCAGTAATTTTAACTGAGAAATTGAAAGATTGGTATTGAAGAAGTCAACTACACATATAATCTAAGACTCTAAACAGAAAAGGCAGAACCTATTGAAAGGATTTCAAATTCTATTCAATGACTTTTGATTATTTTTTAAATTATGATTTATAACTGATTAACAGTATGTACAGTTATGAAATCCAACGTCAATCTTGTTTTTATTTATTTATTTATTTACTTTTGAATTTGTGACAAATATGAAAAAAAATTGAAAGATACTCCTACACATTTATCAGATATATATTAACAGTAAAATGATAGCATATGTATTAATGTGATTTTTTGCAAACGTTTGAGTTCAGTGAGGTTTAATACGTCTTAACCATATTTTCATAATTTTGAATACTATAACGTTTCTTATTAATATACAAATTAAAAGTGATGCCCAATTGAGAAAAACAAAGGGAAAAAGAAAAGAAAAACACAAACATATAATTCATCTAATTATGTATTTTTAAAAATATTTTTCTGTATCATTATAGCCTAACAACTTGAAGATATCTTTTTTTTTTGTATTTTGCATCGGAATAAAAGCTCATTAGCTACATTTGAAAACCTGAATATAAAAAAATATCTTACAGAAAAATCGTGAATTGGGTGTTTTTTAATTATAAATCTTATCTATATTTTTCTATTGATTGTATGTTGTTTTACGTCCCATTCGAGAATTATTTCGAGAAAAAAAGCGAAAGATTTGTTCAAAAGATGCTGTATTAAACTAATTGTATGATATTCAAGTTAAACCAATTTCCTTTAAAAAAATGAATTACTAAATATAGAAGTGTCAACTTTTGCAATATTTCCTCGTTAATTAATTTTGTGTTTCATCAGGTATTGTAATTAAACCGCAGTCCCCGCCTCCCATTATGTCTAAAGGTATATAATGAGTTGATAGACAGGACCTGTACTTAACGGTTGTCAAGCAGTAGCTCCAAAGACCACACAAACCAGGGTAAGAGTTCAGTTTATCTTATTAAGAAATAACGATAAAAATATTGAGACGTTACATAAATTGCTTTTTTAAAAGTTATTTTTCTTTTGTATTAGATTACAGTACATATATGTACAGAATTATATGGGGCTTTTTTAACACCATATAAATTAATACTTCAATAAGAAATTGAAATTTTCAATGTTTAGCTAATTAAATGAAAAAATATCTTAATATTTAAATTTTCTTCATGTTAGAAAATGATGAGAATAATCTCCCTCGCCTGCATCGTTGCCTGCGTTTCTGCGGATTCTTACCCGAAGGCTGGGGGTTACTATCCCAAAAGCTATGGATATGATTTTGGATACGGGGATTACTATCCCAAGAGTTACGGAATTGGTCCATATGGTAACTTTGGAGGCGTGAACAGTGGTCTGGTTGGATTCGGGGGCATCAACAGTGGACTCGGTGGCGTTGGAGGATACTATCCCGGTTTGGTCGGTATTGGAGGCGGATCTGCTGCCGCTAGCTCAGCTGCCGCTGGAGGTGCTGCTGCTGTCGCCGCTGCTTCTGCTGCTGCGCAAAATGCTGCTGCCGCTTCTGCCGTCGCCGCAGGAAACAGTGCTGCTGCCTCTGCTACTGCCGCTGCTGGTGGACTGAATGTTGCTCCATACTACACCTATCCTGGATATTATTACCAGGGACAACAGTTCTACAACTTCCCCGGTTACTACCTGAATCAATATCCAGGAAACTACTACCAGTTCCCCCTATACAACACCTTCAATCCTTATCTTGGTATTGGAGGAGGATCTGCCGCTTCTTCTGCTGCCGCCGCTGGTCAGGGTGCCGCCGCCGCCTCCTCTGCTGCCGTCAGTCAGGGATTCAATGGATTCAATAATGGCGTCATTCTTGGAGGAAGAAGACCAAGAAAGGTTAGATTGAGATCTAAGAAAAAAATAAAAAATCATTTGAAAACTTAAATTCATTTTTATCCTATCTATTTATTAAGATCGGACTATATTTAATAAAAAAAATTCGATGATAATTTTTACTTATTATTTTTCAGGTCTACTAAATGGAGTAGAACGTTAACGGTTTACTGTGTTATTTGACGGCTGTGATTGGTTTATTTGTTTGTTATAATAAATATTGTATAATTTAACTACCTGTTGACTTATTTTATATCAGGTATTTCGTTTGCAGAGAACTGACTTGAAAAACTATACTTTTCAAAGTTACTCTACAAATCAACAAAGACGAAATCTTGCTAGTCACAATCTCTCCGTAAAACTCCGTAAAAGTTTTCAAGAAGTTGAAAAGGTGATTTCAGCAAGTCTTCGTGTGGGAAAAATGAATATTGGGTATTGATGTACGAGATGTCGTACTTCACATAAAATTTGATGACACCAATTTTTATGCATTTGACTCAGGAACAGCTTATCGTAAGACTAAAGAGATCAAAGGCAATGATTTTATCTTACAAAAAGCTATATTTTTTTTTGTTAAAAATATCATAGTTCTATTCGAAACCTTACTGGAATCATTTTATTGGATAAAAAATTATCAAGAGTGAATAAAAAATATCTGTTTCAATCTTGAAGTAAGAGGAGCTTTATTCAAGATACCAATGTTCCACTTTTGTTGGTTATGGTAAGATCACAGATGTTTTTACAAAGCAAAAGAAAAAAATTGATTTAGATATAGTGCGATGTATAATAGAAAGACAAGTTGAATACGGTACTTAGAATATAAATCGGATATCACAGATTGCTTTACCGTAAATCTAAAAAAAAAAATGTAAAGTAGATAAATGTTTATAAAGCATATGTGCGTATACATTGAAACTGCATTCGCAAAAAAAAAATCTTAAAATTAAATCAACAACAAAATTTGCTAAAAGTTGATATCTTGTTAACCTCGTGAACAGATGTTCTTAACCAGTGGTCATTTTTAGAAACCTGTTAATACTACAAGCTAATTTGAGTAATTGTCCATGATTGTCCTTGCTGGAGAGTTCTTTCACTAGATTCAATATTGTCATATGATTTGACATGCAATCTGTCACTTAAATGTTATTTCTCTAAGAAAGAGAGGTCAGTTGTTTTATCTAACAACTAGTCCCTAGTTAGAGAAATTGTTCACTCAAATGTTATGAAAACTTTAACAGTTTTTATGTAACTGTTTTATCTTTTCTAATATATTTATCGGATTATTGAATGTGATCAGCACCATTTATTGCTGTATGTACATGGGTAATGTATGGTATGTACGTGCTAAATTTATAATCCGGTTTTTGAACGCCGGCATCGTGAAATAATGTTTGTATATGCGTAATTTAAGGTATTCATGGCGTAACAAAAACTGTTTTGAAAGCTTTTTTTTCATTTTAGAGCAAATGGCAATTTACAAATTTTTAAACGTAAAATTACTAGTAATATAGCCTTTGACCCACATTAGCAAAAGTAAATTGACTTTTTAAAAAACTAAATTTACCGCAGGTGCATCTTTATTTAAAATATGAATAAGAATTGAACAGGCTAAGAAATTATTTACTTGAAGAAAAAAAAACAACTATATAATATAGTTTTGTCATAAACCGATTTGTTGGAATAAAAGAATAGAAGGTTTCAAACATTTATATCTTAAGGTGAAATTTGACAAGTGTTTATATAAAGTTTTGCAACACTTGGGTCAGAAGATTCAACAAACTGATAACCAATGCAATAACGATGGCCAAGAAATATACATGTATTATCATAGTATTCAGGCGTCGTTTTATCTAGATAACCACTTTTCCCTTCCAATGTTTCGTTGATTAACTCATTGAAACTAAAAAAAAAACAAATTACTTTTTGTTAAAAATATGCATAGTTTCCTCTTTTAACCTTTTAAGTCTGTAAATCTACTTTAGTTTGGTTTGTTCGGAAAATATGTAAAATTCGATGACATATTATATGTTAATCTTCACAAAAAGTATGCACGTGCACGTATTTTTCATGGCTATATCAATTTGACTACGGAAAGTTCGTAACAATCAACCTGTGTGTGTAACCAGAAACCATATCTAACCTCTGATATTTCCAGGGGTCTCAGATTGACTTGTAATATTGAAACTGTTTTGAGATCACCGTACTTCATTTTCACCCTTCTCATTGACTCTGCACTGATATTTCAGACATTAAACTAAAGAATGATGAATGATACATATGGAGATAACGAACAGTATTCAAGATCAAAAGTTCATAAAACAATACAAAATAGGATCAGAGCAAACACGGACCTCCAAAACATCAGAGCTTGGATCAGGTGCCATGGAAGAGTGAGTATCCCCTGCCGACCGGTCACATCCTCCGTGTGCTCCTTGTCATGATCAGGAAATTCGTCAATTCAGTGTTTAACTAATTGACTAACAATTAGCATGAAAAACGTCAGACAGCATCTGACTCAATGAAAAATTGTATTTGCTGTGAAGGTCATTGTCTCTACCATAGAACTAAAGAAATAATGAATTTAAACAAGACTGCTTATATTCTTGTTTCATCAACTTGTTTGTCAATAATTTACTTCGATTTAGAAATTGTTCATACGTACAGCATGCTCTTGTATATCTTATCAACTGAGATTTGAAACTCCGTATATAGGTGATGAAGGTATTTTGCACCATAAGTAAGGAAAGTTGACGATAGAAAAGTTAAATTCATCACGTTTATTATAGAGCTTGGTTGTTAGATTAACATTCACGTCTTTTTCAAGTAAAATATCTAAATATGAAACAGATGCGTCAGACGCTGTGATATCTTTTATCTCAAGCTCATCAGGATATATCATATCGACATGAGAATGGAAATTACCATTGTTAATTGACAGTACGTCGTCGATATATCTTAAGGTTCAGTTAAAGGCCACATCAAGTGTTTTCTTCTTTTCACGCATAAAATTTTGCACAAATTTTGCTTAACATAAATACAAAATTAGCCTGCTAATAATGGGCGTAATTGGTACCCATGGGAATTCCAGTAGATTGTTGGAAGACCTGGTCTCCAAAAACAACTTAGATATTGTCAATCAGAAACTCATGAATGTTTCTGACGTCGACTTCAGAAATATTATTACCAACAAAGTTTAAAATTTTAATTTTCAAAGTTTTTTTTTCATTTTTTCAAAAAATATTTTTTGACAAACACCCTTTAATACGGAAGCCCGTTGAAGGCAGTTCAGAGAAAGAATTATTTTTTATTGCGTTTTAATCGCAATAATTATTGCGTTTAACCGCAAAACATTGCGTTTAAACGCAATGATTTTTGCGTTGAAACGCAATATTTTTTTGCATTAAAACGCAATAATCTTTGTATTTAAAAGCAACCATTTCTATTGATCTTTGAAGAGATCAATGGATCCACGCTGATATTTTTTTTTTCTTTTTTGTACATTAACCTATGAGGATAATTGTATATTGTTAAGGTTTATAGAATCAGATTCTTCTGAACAAGCATTTTCTGAATGGTTAAATCATTGGTATATGGGTTTAAAGAGGAGAAAGAAGTTTCGGTCTGTAAAAACAAAGACAACCTAAGAAAGAAACAAAGCTTAAGCATGTATAGATATCTATATTCCTATAAAAGTTTTGGTCAGTTGCTTACAAATAAAAATAGCATTTCCTTTATTGTTTTCTCTACTTTTAAACTTTAAAACTGTGCAAACAATTTAAAAGAATTATCGAAATAAAAGACTGGGGAAGAAATTGATGATTGAAAAACTATCACTGTCACATGTACATATTATGTGCATGTATATGTATATTCACAACCTTTCCTTTGATCAAATACAGTAAACACGAGAACACGAGAATTTAGGAGATGGAATCATATGAAATCAAAGATAAATCAAATGAAAACAGATTAACTGATGTATACTGCAAAACTGATATGGCTATTAATACAACTGAAACATTCTTAATTGGCTGTGATACCTAAGAAATTGATTAATGGCTCCGTTTAAAGTGTTGGGTTCCGCAAAAAGTATTGCGTTTAATCGCAAAATTTTTGCGTTTAAACTTTTGTGATTAAACACAAAGTGTTTTGCGTATAAACGCAATGGTTATTGCGATTAATCGCAATGTTTTGCGTTAAAACGCAATAATTATTGCGATTAAACGTAATAAAAAATATTTCTTTCTCTGAACTGGCCTCAACGGGCTTCCGTACTTTTACCTCTTTTGTGTTTCTTTTTTATATATTGATTGTGCACCCCATGAAAATTTTTGGTCTGCTTGTTTAAACATAATTAAAACTTGCGATAAATAAACAGGGAAACTAAAAAATCATTCACTAAAGCTTTCTCGTGTCATGATTCTACTGCTTTCAACATTTTGAATTCATTTATCATTCTGTATTACCGTATATCAGGATTTTTCCGCGTGTATCCAATTTTTTCTTCTTTTGTGTAAAACAGCGTAAATTTAATACAAAGTTTTATATATTTCTTAATGCTTATATGTGCACCCCAAGCGCAAGATGAAAATTTTTAAGCCCGTATTGTTTGTTTACTAATTGACACATAATTATATGGAACGTTTCTTGCGAAGCTATAAAACTAATTATACCTGAGCTGCTAGTCAGTTTGGAACAGTAAATGAACTTTAATTGTTTAAATCTTAAAAAATAATATCTGTGCACAGTTGATTTGAGAGTTACTAAACACAGTGTGTATGGAGCTATCACTCATCACTATGAAATAACTCAAGCTTAATGACTTTACATTTTATATCCAATTCCTTCATAGGCTGCAACAATTGTTAATAATATAAGCACTTAGACTTTGAAATAGTGAAAATTTGATTCGCGTAAATTTAATATACATTTATTCTGATTCTGTATATATATATTCATATGTTAAAGCAACAAGAACAACAAGAAGTTTAAAGATTTTCCTGCATGATAAGTGTTAAAGTTACAACGATATTAATACAATGTGATATTAATGACGTTGCTTTTTCTTTGAAATGTAATGTGTCATAATTTGCAGTGTCATTCAAGTCTCAACTCTAAAAACAATATGATACTGGAGGAAATAAATTGGAGAACTTTAATAAATAACATGCTATTCTGATTATCGAATTAGCAAATAATAGCTTTTGGAAAAAAATTTTCTCTAAACGATATTATCAACTTTTATTACTATTATTATTATTATTATTATTATTATTATTAAAGACTATTGGTTGACTTTCCAACAAATTTTTTATATAAGAAATAAACTTTTCTTTTTATATTATTTTTTTTAGACATTTTTACTTGCCAAGAAAGTTGGAAAACAACCTTTTTCCAAAATATGACAATTAAAAATTAAGTTTAATGAGGTTGTTCATCAACAAAATATATCAATTATGGTCTTGATTTATTCAATATCAGTTTTAACAATGCCTATCTGATAAATATCCAGTTTCAGTTTCATCAATGTCTTTTGTCATTGGATTTTAAAGTTTGAAAAGATGAAGATGAAAAACAAAACAAACATAATTAAATTATTTTCAAGATTTCATCAGGATCATATCACTTTTCAGATACCTTAATATTTCTGTAAATATACAGCAGTATCAATTAAACAGGAGAATGACATTGAATCCAAGTCTGTAAATAATGTTTTATTTTATAATAGAATACATTTTTCGTTGAGGAAATATTACTTGATTTGTCTCTCACTGCATACAATCTGCATCAAGATTTACGAAATGACGTCACATCGATAAGTGCATTGCGATCAGTGACTTGATCACCTCATTTTGTGGAATTTTTAGGATTTGTTGGTTTTCTATGATGTATAGTTAAGTTTTCCAGTACAAAGTAGGCTCCACCCCCTTTTTGGAACCTTGACTGTGCTGTGAAACTAAAAAATAAATTGTTTCATATTTGGATGTTTTATTGAATATGAACGATGATGACGTTTGAATAAAAGAAACTTAAAAACAAATTGTTTCATTTTGGATATTTTCCAAAAAAGGGTAAATGGTTATCTTAAAACAAAACTTTATGATACATGTAAACGCGATTACTCTAACTTTTCAATCTTCAACTTCCCTTTTTAGAGTTAATTTTACCAATTTCATGGTATTTAAATACAGTGACCACTGATGGTATGAACATAGGATTATTCTGTCTAGAAATGTAACTGCTGCAGCTAGATAAAAGCAGATAATTATTTTGTCCAGAAATGATTTGCAAATATATTTCCATACTTGATGCAAAAGATTGATTAATTACAATACCACACCTAATAATTAAACAATAAATGATTTTCAAATTCGACATTTCCCTGAAAGAACAATTAAATAATGAAATCCGATTCGTTTATAAAATTATGCAATTGCATTGTGTTTAATTAAACGTAAAAGTTATTGTGTGCACATAATGAACAAAAATTACCATTAATGCAATGGATGTGAATAAATTATTGTGACCATAATGAACAACAAATTTATTGAAAATGATAAGCATCAAATTCCCCTTTTGTTTCAACTGCCCAGATGGTCTACTGTTTTCATGTCAATGGAGAAGGTTGTAAAAAGTGCTAATTCTATGATAGACAATAAACAAAAGGAAAAACGCATGGAGAGAGAGAGAGAGGCAAATGGCATCCTATCATACCCAAAGTCAAAAATCTGAAAAACCATTCCAAATTTAGAGCAGAGTAAACACATACCTCCAAAACATCAGAGGTTGGAGCAATCGCCTTGGAGGAGCCAGCATCCCCTGCCGACTCCCTCAATATTAATTCATTGATTACTATCGTTCTCCTTTTAAGGACACACGCAACGTACCTTACCTACTGATAATTTTCCAAGATATTCTAAATTTAAACTTATAATATCATTACATGTTCTTAGACAAAAAATCAGCATGCGTTACCTGGGGTTTTGCAAAGATATCGAATTTGAAAACTTTTGCATTATTCAAATAAAAATGTACAAAAATTATAAAACATAAATTCCAGATTTTATTTCATCAAAAATTGTTTTAGAAGAGATGTACAAATCCATATATACACATTAAAAATATTGCACACAGGTCCTTCATTTAGTGGAACTCTTTAACTCCAGGGAAGAATCCAAAAAGTGTGTAAATGGCCAAAAAAATTATATAAAAATATCAGTCAGCATTTGACTTAATGATGGATTGTATTTGCTAACAAATCCTTCTCTCTGATAAAAAAATCTTCCAATTCCTTATTCAAATGAATTGATCACACTTTATCAATTTACTATGTTTATCCTTTCATACATATCTATAATACAAATATATGCTTAGAACATTTCTTTTATTTTTCTTTTATTTGAATTTATTTTATTTTAAATTCAGACAATGTTTGTGCCTTTTAATCATTATCTCTTTATTTCTTATCAGAAATTTTAGAAATTTCTACTTTTAATGTAATCAGTAGTGAGCTTTTAAATGAATTAAAGTGTCGAGTTTAAGTCAACCACACGAATAATTGAGAAAATTTAAATTAGCAGCAAAATATTTATCCTGCATCAAAAAAGAAAACTTTGCAAACCAAACAAATATCAGGAAATAAATTTACCTCCGAAGTATCAATGGATTTTGATTACGTACAAGTGGTTGGAAATTAATAGCCTCATTATACAATGACAAAGAATAGCTCATTTAATTTTTTCTTGTGTGAGACAAGCAAAATTATGACACAGATCTTTCAAGTACAAACTTGTACCATTTTAAAATTATACAACATTACAAACTTGTTTCAACATTGACGTATTTAAGTAAAATCAAGATGAACATAAACTACCAATAACAACGACTTCATTTTAAGATATACAAATTACGTCCAATTTATAACCCAAAATTCATAATTTCTATAAATATAAATTATTTATATTATTATTAATTCATGTAAAAAGGTGAAATTTTTCATCTTATAAATGCATTCATTTACAGTATTCAGTTATTCAAAATAGTCTTTTTATCTTATTTGCTTAAAATACCAGTAGTAAAGAAATTTTTTCAAGTATTCAACAAAATTATATTTGTAAAAGTACTAATTGATTTCACAGAAATGTTTAGGAAAAATCTTATTCAAATTTTATTTTTATTTGACATTTCACGATTAACTTTTAAAACTGAACAGCTCTTGGGAATGCAGTTGCATTCCTGTCAATCATAGTATTCTTCCTTTAAAATTTATTTTAGTTATTATTAGGACAGAAAATTAACCACAATCGCCGCCTTTCTTTATGACGTAAGCATTTGAAAGATGTATATAAACGCCAATACTTTGAAAACACGGTACAAGCAGTAGTTGCCTTGAGAAGACCGGCCAAGTAAGGTAAGATGCCAGGCATAAGACAGTATGTAGCACTAAGAAGCTATTCTTGATACTGTTTATAAAATTCCAATTAATAATGAAGTTTAAAATATGATTTTGTAGATTGTTATATGTTTTTTTTTCAAAATATAAAAAAGAAAAAGGAAGAAAAGAAATAAAATACATATATTTTCCCAATCCAACAGAAAATGTTGAGACTCACCTCCCTTGTCTGTATCGTTGCCTGCGTCTTCGCAGACTCTTACCCAAAGGGTGACTATTACCCTAAAAATGACTACTATGGTGGGTGTGGAAAATACGGATGCACATACGGTGTCCACTCTCAAGGTCCCTATGGTAACTTTGGAGGAATAGTCAGCTCTACAAGTGGAGGATTAAACACCGGATTCGTCAGCACCGAGGGTCTCAACACAGGATTGTTCGGTCTTGGAGGTGGATCTGCTGCCGCAAGCGCTGCTGCCGCTGGAGATGCTGCCGCTGCTGCTAGCGCAGCCGCCGCAGGACAAAGTGCCGCTGCCTCTGCCGCCGCTGCTGCTGCCAATGGAGCAGCTGTTTCATCTGCTGCTGCCGCCAACGGAGGTTTGGGATTGAACATTGCCCCATACTACTACAATCAACCAGGATATTTCTATAATTTCCCAGGTCAATATGGAAACTTTGGTCAATACCTCACCTACCCAGGAAACTTCTACAACAGCTTTCCTATCTACAATAACTACGTCCCTTACTATGGTCTTGGAGGTGGATCGTCTGCTGCTGCTAGTGCTTCTGCTGTTGGTGGAAGCTCTGCCGCTTCCGCTGGTGCTTCTTCTGTGGGTGGATTTGGAAGATTTAATGGAATTTATGACGGAATCTTCCTCGGAGGATCAAGACGTAGTTTCAGAAGAAGACACAGCAAGGTAAGATTTGATGTACTTTATAAGTTTTTTTTTGTTTATATTGAAATTTTTTTGCTTATTATTGAAAATTAATTCCAGATAGCTGTTAGTTAGCATGTTTGTTTGATTTACATGATGTGCTTTCTCTAAGCTAGATATGTTCATTGTCCTCTTCATTTTCTCTTCTGTTTTTCAGGTTTACTAACGGATCCGGCCAATTAAAATTGTTCTTGGTGTTGTTTTGTTAATTTATATTAATAAATGTTTTATTCTTAAATTATCTTTTTTTTTATTAATTCCATGCTAGAAAAATTAAAGAACAATATTTTATTAAACTGCTACTTAAAATTATTTGAGGTATGGTATTAAAATATTTTGAATGTAAATTTATGATGCTCTTTAACTAATTTTTTACTATTAGTACAAGTACAATGAGAAATGCAAAATTATTAAATTTATCTCATGGATATATATGAAATAATATTTATGAATTTGCTAAAATTCTACCTTCGATTAACATTGAAATGTTCTTTAATTCGCTAACGCAAGTATTTTGTAATTTATAGTTAATGATGTAAATAATACGGTATACACAGAAATTTTCGCCCCTGTTTTATTTTTGCCCCTTTCGTCCTTGTCACAGGTGGGCGATTTTAAACTAGGCAAATTCAAAGAACATAATATAATTTCTTAAACAGAACTGTGACTGGGTGAATTTAAAATGGAGCAATTGTTTGCAAGTGTGAAGGTGCGAAAATAAGACTTGGCGAAAATAACCCTGTATACAGTTGTACAGTAAAAGCCAAATACCTTATTTCCATTAAGAGGAATTAAAACCGCGACTCCTGAAAAGAATTGGTGCTTTAATTTTGAAGTACGAAAGGTTCAAATATGTTTTTAATACTAAAATTCGTTTTCAATTTTAAAGTAAGCAAACGGCTTTCAAGATGCAGAGAGAAAAAGAATATAATTTAAATGTATAATAGAGACAGTCCTTTTATTGTGTAGAAAGCTTAAGAGCGGATATAAACTAGTATGCCGGCCCCAAGAATCAGAAGAACGGTTGATTCCCTTTTCGCTGCTTGTCCAGAATGTACAGAAACCCATATTTCCCCTCGCTTCAACAAAACTCAATTCGATTGAGTAATTAGGGTAATAGTGTATAATTTTCAAACATTAGAACCGTTTCATATTTTCTTTCTTAGATCTTTTTGACTTTGAGCTGGTTCATGTTTTTTTTCCTAAAACTTGTATGAACCAGCCCTATTTCGAACTATTCCGGTATATTTTCGTATAGGAATAAAAAATGAAACATGTAAAAGTTAATATATTAAACATAGCAATTAAATATGGGCGCGATGTATAAGGTCGACGTATTGCATGGACTTAAAGTACATATAAGATTAATGCATCAACAGTTTTATACATCTCCATCACTTTTGGCATGCAGTTTTTTCATAAACGGAACTAGAAAGTTTTGTGACCAAAATCCTGGACGACATCCGAAATTGGAAAGTGACAAACACAAGTACGAAAAATGGCTAGTTTGATGACGTTACGGCCCACCGGTGAGAAGTTAAGTTTGATTGAGATGCAGTAATGATGCCGTAAGTGAATTTGAATGAATACAAAAGAAATAAATTATTAAAATACCAAGAACCTTAATTTACATTTAAAACAGAACTTTTCTGAGAGAAATCTTTCTTGATCCCCTTGGGTAGAACAAAACATATACGGACGAGCAGTTATGGTAATAGCGAAAGACACTGTCAATATAGACAGTCAATATAAGATTGCCTATTTAGTTAAATGATAGTGGGAATACTGTCCATAACTTACTAAAAATCTTTAGAAGGTCTCATATGTTTGTGAGATTGGTCCCTTGACTGTTTATAAAGGAAGAAAGAGAAACTCAAGAATGTGCATCAATGAAATTCTTAAACACAAGTGAGACAATTTGACTTTATTATTCATGCGTCGAAAGGCGATACAGCACATATCGATTTTCTTTTAATTCATAGATTTTATTTGTGCTTTCACATATATATAGACGGTACGATGAAACATAACGAAGATAACGAACAGTGATCAAGATCAAAGGTCCATAAAACAATACAAAATAGGAGCAGAGCAAAAATGGACCTTCAAAACATCAGAGGTGGGATTAGGTGCCAAATGATCCTTGCCATCATTTGGAAATAACGGAAAAAATCCATCCTCGAATCAGTGCATACATATTGGACTAACAATTATTCTGAAAACCTCAGTCAGCATTCGACTCAATGATAACTTGTATTTGCTGACAAGGTCATTGCATTCACCATAGAGCTTAAGAAGTGATTACTTTAAACGAGATAGCTTATATTCTTGTTTCATCAACTTGTTTGTCAATAATTTACCTCGTTTTATAAATAGTATTTTAGTTTGCATTCAATACATACTTTCATTTCTACTTCCTAATAATAAATATTATTACAAATACTATTTCTCATTGGTTAATGATACATCTTCATTTCAAAAACAAGCTGAAAAATATATGAAATTCATGTGTTTTTATGAATCTTCACGGTGAAAGCCTTATACTAATATACAAAGTGAAACAAATGTGAAGGGGGTGAAGGAGGGTAAACACAAAAAAGTGAAGTAGTGGGAGCAGTATTCAGTATTTTAATAATTATACTTGTACATTTCTTTATAAATTCGGGAAAACAAATACAAATAGCATATCACAAATAGTTTTGCAGTGTTTTTCATATTATTAAAATTTACAGTTTCTTAAAAGTATAGCTTTTTCCAACTAATATTTTATCTACAATATTTTTTTTCCAGCACTGAGATACTAAATTTAGGCACATTTTTAAACCTACTGGCAAAAATGAATTGTTTAACAGTAAGAATTATTATATTGTACAATCTATACATGTTTTTATTGTTGAATTTCCCAAACAGTATATCCTTTCTATCAAAGCCTGCATAAAAAAAAAAAACTTTTCAAAATTGCGAAATTTTGAAAAGTTTTTATGATGCAGGATTTGTTTTAAAGGTGCATGGACAGAGATTTGAAGTAAATATTTTCTGCATAATATTACGACCTATATATTTTAATAGCATGAAATAAAATTTTAATAAATTTTTGTGTGATATTGCTATAAAATATATAAGTCGTGATAGTATACAAAAATATTGACTTCAAATCTGTGTCCATGCACCTTTAATAAGAGATCTGTTTGACTCTGAAGCAGACTTCGTAAGCCTTGAATACCTTACAAATCTAAGTGTAAAAAAGTAATTTTGTAGAATATGAAGAATTAAATTGAACAACTCATATATACGTATGAGATTCTTGGATTAAACCATATACGAGTATGTTCATGAAGACTTTGCATATAACTTATATTTTGACTACCACAGTCAATGATTTTTACCCAATTAAGAAAACCCTCTCTCCAAAATGTGTACTTATTTTATTACACATATTAACATTAAAGTCTAAACCTCTAATACACAGAGATTCAATTTTCATTCCCAATTCTGATTCTAAAAGTTTTAGCCATTTTGTATCTGAGTAAATTAGTCTTCGGATCCATGTTGATTTGAATGCAAATAGAAAATCCATGAAATAAATCATTTTCAACCCCCATTTCTATAATCGCAATTCTACCACGATTATTGTAAAGATTAAAGAAAACCGGCGGACATTATTCTCCAATAAATCACGAACGTCATCAAAAAATCATAAGATCAGAAACACGTATCACATCTGAACAATTCAAATGCATATTTGGCTGTAGAATAAAATACTTGTTTAGACCGCATCGATGTGTCGTCTTTTGCAGTATAAACACTGTAAATTGCATAAATGTGCTGATGATTGTCGGTTTTTATAGCTAAGCGGGGCTATTCCACGGACCTCCCTAGTTACATTAAAATAACGTGATTTTAGTCCCAATAGAGTAGTAAAACAGGAACATGATCTTGTCATTGTATATTCATTATAACCGATCAATACATATTTCGAACAAATTTGTAATTTAAAAAGGCTATTTTTAATGCAACGAAAGCTTAAAAAATTCCATACACAGGTAAGCAAACAAATTTTACCTCTGGTGTTAAATGGAACAGCGTAATCGAGACATAATGACCTAATTTATTTCTCTATAAAGGAAACGATCAGTCGTATTTTAGCGATTTTAGTAGACATGGAAATAAAGTCCTTGTTGTCCTGAATGATGCAGAATAACCTCCTCGGTCTCGAAATGTAGTTTGAAATATAAAAGCCTCGGCTTTTATCTTTCAAACAACATTTCCCGACCTCGGAGGTTATTCTGCAACATTCACGAAAACGTGGACTTTATTTCTTAAATAATAACATTTTACTTAACCTTGTGAATTTTACTTCCCCATAAAAATAATAAAGGTATTTCTCCTTGAGAATTTCCTTATTTCAGTTTGGTATAGTCAATATCAATTGATTCATCTTTGGTGAAACAACTGGAGATAACAAACAGTATTTAAGATCAAAAGTCCATAAAACAATAATAAAAAAAATAGAAGCAGAGCAAGACGGACCTCTAAAACACTATGGGTAGGATCAGGTGCCATGGAGGAGTGAGCATCCCCTGCCTACCTGTGATACCCGCCGTTTGCTCCTTTTCATGATCGGGAAATAACGGGAAAATTCGTCGTCAATCCAGTGTATTAATAATGGACTAAAATAACTTTTGATTCATCCCGTATATATTACTTCCTACTGCCCAATGAAGGAACAAATCCTGATTAAGTTCGTCAGTGTTCCCTGTGAGAAGAATAAAAATGTAGGAGTTGAAAACGGCGCCTACTGAGACGAATTATTTTAAGGACAGATGATACTTACCTCAATAACATGTATTTTTCCCCAAGATGTTGTAATGAATCATTCCTATTTTTTATATTTTTGGCGTGTACCTAATCCGGCATTTGTGCAAGATAGCAGAGGGTAGTGTTTCTTAAATAATCTTTTTTGGAAAAAATAATTTTCCGAAATCGATTTTTTTTATTGTTTTAATTATTTTAAGACGACCAAAAACTGGTTTTGAAGCCATGATTAAATTAAAATTTAAATATTTTTTATACTTTACAAAGATAAACAAAAAAAATATTTGAGGAAATGAAAGGAAAAAGAACCGCAATGCTAACCATTACAGATGAAAAGAAATTAAACAAACAAATAAAAAAGCTAAGGCACATTAAATTCAGTCAAACTTAGAATACAATTACGGGTGTTCTCCCAAATTTTCA